TCTAAAAGACAGTGGCTCAGGCAAAAACTCTTCGTGATGTCCAATAATATATTCAGAATATCAATTAGACTGACTGAGCCAAAGCATATTTAACATTGCCAAGGTAAAATCTCCTGCTCTAATAATCAATGGAACTGCAACTACAGCATCTATCAATCCGGACTGCTGCCTAAGTCAATAAAAGGCGAGGAGCGTTCCCTTCTTTAAAAAAAAATAAATAAATGTTTAAAGAAATGTGCCATTAGCCGCAGAGTGAACTCAGAGCAATCAACCTTCACTTGAATGTGTAGCCTTCCCTAGTGAAGAAGCTGAAGTCACAGACACAATCACGCTGACTGCCAAGATTTGGCTGACACTATGCATACAAAATGAACATTGCTTTTAAATTCCCATTTAATTCAATTTATAATAAGCAGTTGCATTTTAAATTACTGACGAATATCATTAACCTCTGTAGATGTTCTGATAACTTTCAGATAGATAGATAGATAGATAGATAGATAGATAGATAGATAGATAGATAGATAGATAGATAGATAGATAGATAGATAGATAGATAGATAGATGCAGACACTGAGCTTTTCATCTACCAGCGATACGATGTGATGCTGAAACCTCCCATTTCCCAGCCTACTAGTAAATACTAGGGGGGAGGAATTCCCACTAAGAGATGTAGCTTCATCCTTTCAAAAAAAAAAAAAAAAAAAGAAGAAGAAGAAGAATCGGCCTTCCTGTACCATGAAAGCGAAACGCACCGCTCCTGACAGCGGCTTTAAAAGCGTAGTCAGCCCAAACCAATAATAAAAGACGCCGCTTACCTGTCATAACTCCATCTACTGTAAGACATGCTCCTGTTGCTGCTGACTCCCTCCATTTCAACCCGCGGGGACGTGGAGCGGTCGGAGCGGACGACGAGACGGTGAATAAAATCAAAGCTTTCAAGCCGGGGAGGGTCGGAGTATATCTGGGAGCGCCTGTAAGTGAATGGCAGGGAGGCTGAGCGCAGCCAGACCTTCTTCTGTGGACTATACCACCACAGAGAGGGGAGCGCAGCTGAACGTGTCGGAAACCTGAAGCAGACAGACTGATGAAACTGAATAAACAGGTGGTTCCTAATGTTGGGGTCGGGACCCCACAGTGGGGGGGGGAGTGTTAGATTAATTCAAGTTAAAAGGCTGTTTCAGATATTTACTCCTCCGAAAAATGAACTTTATGATTAAAATTAAATCAAATTAAGTGAAACAAAAATAGTTAATTGTTTTATTATTGATATATAATTGATATAACTCCATCTTTCTTCTTCTTTTTTTTTTTTTTTTTTACAACATAAGGAAATCTGTCAGAGAAGTCTCTTCGAGTGATGCTGGAGGAATCCTGTATTAGCAAATTAGCAAAAAATTATGTGACTAACAAGCGAAAGTTTGGGGATTTTAATAACTTCAAATTAATTTTATTTACAATAAACCTATCTTTGTAAAGAGAATAAATACTTTCCTCAACAAATTCAATTTATTTATATGACCATTGGAAACGTTTAGGTTTGTTCTCCTTAAAACAATCATTTACGCTCTAAAATGATCAAAGCATAAAATCATAAAATAGGCTAAATTAATGAATTAAAAAAGGAGAGCATTCCTTTAATATAAACGTTTTAACATAAATTATGCCAATAAACTTCCAGCAGACCAGCTTCCTGTGGCATAATATTGCCTAATAGTTGTTTAATCTCTTTGTGTGGTCCGACAGCCGTCTGCTTCTCTATAAACCCATCAAATGGAGACATTAAATGTCCTTTTGTAGGTAATTTGTTTTACTTCAAACAGGTTATCATAGCTTAGAAGTGCGTTTGGTTATGTGGATTATTACTTTGGAGGTCCTTTAAGGATGCTTTCAGTATCACCATATATTCTAGTTTTTTTGATGGAACAACTTGTAAAGGCAGAAATTTGAAAAAGTTGCAGTCAGGATGTGTCTCAATGAAATATAACTGAGAAAATGTATTCATTAATTCAACTTAAACACTGTAACTAATATGATACATGGATTTATTAGGCATAGAGCAGTATATTTGCGGTTTTTATTTCTGTTAATTTTGACTTTAAGTACCTATCGTAGGTACTTAAAGTCTTCTATTGCATTTCTTGGAAAAATCAGAGTTATATAAATACATTGAACCAACACCAGCAGAAGACACAGTTCCCAAAATCCTACTTCACTGTGGAAAAAATATACTTTAAGAACCGTGTATGTTTCGCCTCTGCAATCTTTCTCCAGACTGACACTTGATTCACAAATGAAATACATTCATCTGCAAAGAGGTCTTTTTTATCTTAAGCCTAGGAAAGTTGCTTCTGACATCGTGTCTGGTTAAAGAGTGGCTTAATGCTTCGCAGTAGCCCATGTTCTGGACACGTCTGTGTGAGAAGGCTTTTTAAGGACTGACTGCAGCCACAGTCCACACCGCATAAATCTCCATCAAACTGTTCAATAGACTTTGCTTCAAATTTTTCTCAAGGCTGTATTTCTTGGGCCTTTCCCTACTATACTTTCTCCTTTCACTCAACTTTCTATTTTGGACAATGCATTCTATGAAGAGGAAGCTACATCAGCAACTACGTTTTGTGTCTTGCAATCTTTGTGTGCAATAAATTCATGTACTGCACTACTGTACCTAATACATTTCTTTTTAGATGAACTGGTATTTGTGCAAAACCTCAGAAACGTGTATTATTGTACCTCACAAGATATGAAACAAAACAGACTGTTTTCAGGTGAAAGAAAAGCCTAAGCAACGATAAAGTAGATGTGTTCCAAATAGAGCAATTGTAAATACATATACATAAAATGAAATTGCTTCAGCTTAATGTTTTCCGAGCAATGAGAGCTCATATACGGTTTACGGAATCACAATCGGCTCTTTAAAGAAACAATTTTCTATCTTCTCTGGCTCAATAACAGATTTTATTTTAGCAACAGAAGCTAGACACAGGGGCAAAAGACACCAATGTGAAAGAGAAATCAAACAGAATGATGCAGGAGCATACTTAAGATTAGCGACAAGATGAGATGTGGGCATTTAAGTCTTAGTGCCAGGAGGTTGCATGATCTAAACAATCATTCCCATGACCTCCAAGTTTAAACTGACATTTCACAATCAGAACTGGTGGTGAACACCTCAAGATAAATATATTCTTATTTTGTGCCCAAAAAAAAAAAAAAAAAAAAAAAAAAAAAAAAAAGAAAACCTTGGTTATATTTAGGTGAAACATCCAATTGTTCAGATTTAGGCCAGCAATCATTTTCACGTTAAAAATAACCAAGGGAGTTAGATATTCTTCTTTACATATAGACACAGCCGGGGCTGTGAACATGTATTTCCTTATAAACATATAAAACTATCAACTGGTTTTATAAGAAAATAATGTATAAAAGTAGAGTAGAAATATTTAATCAAGTTCATTAATTCCATCGTCTGATTTTCTTGTTATAATACAAGGTGAATGTGTGCAAGACAAACAGCAGCACTTCGTCTGAGCGCCCGGACAGCAGCGGAAAGGAGAAGGCGGATCGCTGTTGCGCGTCTTCAGTGATTACAGATCCCGCGGTGTGTGAGGTCGCGCCCTGCTGCAGACGGCCGGTCCTACGAAGTGCACCTCGAAGCTTCGGCTCGTCCTGGTTTTACAACCAGCAAACCAAACTGGGACAAAACAATAAATCAGAGTAACAAACTGACTCGAGGGCACAAACAAATACATTGCCATGGTGTTGGAGGTGCAACAGCAATGTGAGTGCAATCAGAACTGATGAGAATGATTGCAATGATCTGAGCTGAGCAGAGCTCTGAAAGATTTTCTTAGTTTACAACAAGCTGATTGTTTTTTTTTTTTTGTTTTTGTTTTTTTTTACATTGATTTACCAGTGAAAAGTTCAGTACAGAGTGCACAGTTTCGTTTTTGTCTGAAACAGTCCCAGTTTGAGGCTACACAGTTTGCTACTGATAGTTGAAACCAGACATACAATGTTCAAAAAGACTTAATGCTATTTTTTTCCCCTCAGTGTCTGGTATTATAGTCAAAATCTTGTCATATTTTTAAATTACTTATTCTGCCTCCTAAATAACAGATTAATTAATGTATTACTTTCTTTAAATTCAGAAGTTTTGATAAGCACATATTACCTGTTCAATGATAAGGTCCAGCTTGATGTCATAGCTTTGCAAGCTTCTAACACATCGATGCATCGAACACAGCATTTTTTATTAAATAGAGGCAGACACTCTCCTTGTGACGCCTTATGAATTTTAAAAGAAATTATCCACAACATTAGGATGAAATTGTAGAGCTCCACAAAGTCTGGTTCATCCTGGGATACAATATTCAGATGCCCGAAGGTCTCCTTATATGGTTTTTAAAAAAATCCTAATCAAGTATAAACACCAAGGGATTGTTCAACCATTATCTTGTTCAGGAGGGAGATATTTTCTGTTTCCATTAGATAAATTAGTTTTGATGAAGAAAATGTGTATCAAATGGAAAAGAAACAGAAAAATGATCCGACAAGGATGCTGGTTGAAAGAAAATTGTACCAAAAATGAGTTGAAAGGCCATCCTCCACGAAGAAGCCATTACAGAAAAAAAACCCCAAAACATTAGAAGATGCAATAATAGAGTGACAAAGAATTTAGTTTTTTGAGACTGTGTAGTCTGATTAGACAAAAATGTAGGCTTTTCCTCCATAAAGACCATCATTACATTTCTGAGAAAAGGCCAAACAAACTCCATAACCAGAGTGCCAACAGCAAAGTTCTTAGTAGAAAGGTTGTGTGCAAAGTTGAAAAGGTTGGTGCAACAAAGGTGGCCTATAAACCTGACCCAGTTACTCCAGTTGTGTCAGGATGAATGGGCAAAAATGTCAAAGACTCTCACCCAAATCACCGAGTTTAAAAGGCAATTCCATCAAACACTAAGAAAAGGTACGCAAACTTCTCAATTTAAAGACTGAAGAACCATAATTATGCTGTTTAGCAAACAGAAACAGCTTTGGTAATCCTAAATCTAAAATAGACTTAATTTCTATAATGTCAGACACTGAGACAAAATGGTTATGTATCTTTTTATGCAGGTGTGGAAATATCTGGTTTTAACAGTTGAAACCAGATGTTCATAATCCGCTTCGAAGATTTTCAAGTTTACCGAATGAGGTTGCACCTTTTGGGAGGAAAACTGAGGCGAACACGACGCGTTCTGTATGTCAAGAATATGATTACAATCATTCAATCTATAAGACTTGGCGGTGAGAGGGGGGATTCTAATACAGCAGACAATCCATATTTGGCAATTGAACTAAAAGCATAAAAAGGGGGTTAAGTTATCCACTGCAGAATGCCAGAAATATGTCTCAATATATCATTAAAGGATGTCTAGGAATTACATTTATATACATACATATTCAGTTTCTTATATGTAAAACCAAACTCAACCTCACACACTGCACTGTGGTGATTTAATAGATCATTAGAAATACACTTTGAAAACCACAACAAATGTCACATATGTACAGTAGCAGATTAGCACATGGGGAGTAAAGGTGGATATGGCACAACATACACAAAGCTTCGTAAGATAATCTCTCTGCTCTGGTCAGATCCTGGAAACTAAAGAAATGTCATTAACATTCTGGATATAGATTTCATTCAAACTCGGTAGCAAGTACAAATGTCACTACAAGGCAAGAGGAGTCCTTCAGAGTACAAAACATTTAATTTGTCAGGCTGATTTTAAGAAGGCAATGTTTAGTGTTGGTACTCTCTCGTGTGGATTAGATCGCAGCTGAAGGTAGAGTGGTGTTAAAAATTTGGCATTGTCAGTTGTCCCATAGCGATGTCCTGGAAACAGCAGTTCCTGGTCCGAGTTAACTCAGAAAAGGCTGTCTGAAGTCATGCACATGGAGGGAGAAGGCAGCGGTCACTCATCCACTTGGGATGTAATGTCAGGCAGAGTGGGAGGGGGGCGGGGGCCGAGGGGAGGGGGTGGTAGATTAGCTGCATGAGTTAACAGTGATAAGGCAGACTCAGACGATCACACAATGGCAGCCGGTTTTGTCTTTCTCTTTTCTCGTAGGCTCCGGCGACGGTGGACATTCTTGTTCTTGGAATTTCCTGTTAGAAAAAAAAAAAAAAAAAAAAAAAAGGTGAAAACTGGACCTAGAACTTTTTGGATTGTTTCATTTAGAGGATGAAATGGCATTGAAGCTTAACTCACATGGTGACTGAACTTAATACTGTTATTCAACTGAACTCACGCAAATCTGTTCTAACTGTGTCATTCCACGTTGATGCGTTTTGATTGTGTCATGCAAGAAGACTATTGCTGCTTTAACACAGAGGTTACAGAACGTGAAACTTTCTCGCACTTGTAGCGTCACAAATGTTGAAGAAATCTGAACTTGATGCGGCCATAATCACACTCTGACCAAGACTGTGCAAGAGGCCTTCATCATAATCTTACGGTGTATACATTGACACCGGTCACATACTGCTGTTTGAGTTGAACCTTGTTTCCCTTCTTGGACCTCGAGTTAAACTCTACTTCCAGACAGCTTCATCGTTCCTGAAATCTCATCTGTCTCGTCAAACTAAGATCACTAGAATACATTTCCAAACAGCTCCTGAAACACTGCAAACACTCCTCTGTGGCTCATACCCAATGACATCATTGTAAGCAAGATGGAAGACGACAGAGAACCCCAGATCCCGAACCAGGAAGCCCAACTGAGTCATCATCATCATTTTCATCAAACTTGCTCTAATTGGTTTTAAAAATAGGCTGTGTTTTTGTTTACTTTGATATTCCTCACATTGTTTGATTTGCCTTTGAACTCCCAGCTTCGGAGTGACCTTTAAGGAGGGCAGACCAGCTGAAAAACAATGCTCCCAATCCAGTTCTGAAACTGTAATCAGTCATCTGACCCAAATTTAAGTTTAGTCGTCTCTCATATTAAAGCTATGTTGGGCATTACAGCCACTGCAAGCTTTTTCTGCTATCAGATCTTGTCTTGTGTTAGAAGACGGTGCTCCAGATGTCGCCAGAAAGACATACTTCATATGCACACATAAAAGGAATCTAATCACTGGACAAAACATGTCACACGACTCGGTGCAACAGTGATCCACAGAGAGCCTCCTACACACCCTCTGTTGAAGTCATGAAGACCCCAGAGGACCCTGTGTGCTCTCATAGGAGAAAGATGCAGCCCTATTGTAAAAGAGCTCAATACTTTCCACTGGGCAAGTAGCAAAAAAAAAAAAAAAAAAAAAGAAAAAATCACAAAGAATGTGTTTGTCACAAGGAGTCTGGCTGCTTTAACACCTTTGCTGCTGACGTGTAATCAGTGGTGTTGGAAAATTAGCTAAAAATACAGCTACTAATTACAGCCAGCTTAAATCAGCCAGTTTTCTGTCAGCTGCAATCAGGGTAATAACATAAAAAGGCACAAAGTTATGCAATTAACTCGAGCTGCACAATATCAGGAAATGACTTGATTGCAATACTGTTGCTGAAAACTGCAATGAATGATAATATTCATTGTAATTTATCATCATCATCATCATCATCATCATCATTTACACCACTTTTACCTCTCACAATGTCCCCACCAACGTGTAGGAGATTCAGCATTTAAAATATCCATCAGGTGTGGACACTCAGAGGCCGTATGGTTGGATAAATTTCAGGATTTGGTTGATGTTGTGACCAAGTTTTGGTCACTTGTTTTACACAACTATTCAGCTGAAAGAGCTGATAAAAAAGCTGATCTGCTGGTTTTTATTGAATATTTCCTGGTTGTTCAAAAAGCATCAAAGACTTTCCACCATAAGGTGCCTGAGATGAAGTATGAATGAAAAATGTTAAGGTTGGATTTTTCGTAGATTTTACAGTCAAGGATTAATTTTCGTCCTTTATGTAGGCCTTTACAAAGGGTATAAATGAGCTTGGAGAGTCTGTAAATTTTGACTGACCTCTAGAGGACCGTGAACTAAACCTCCACTGACCTCTGCATCAATAGTACTGGAAGAAGAAGTGTCAACTTACCTGATTACCCTAACCAGCTCGTGAAAAGCCTGGTCTACGTTCATACGGATTTTAGCTGAAGCCTCCATATATGTGACTTTTAGCTGTCTGGCCAGCTGCTGGCCCTCTTCCTGGGTTACCTGGGGTGAGAGATAGCACAGAAGATTGAATCGTCAAAAAAACAGCCCAGAAATCCTCAAAACAAATATTACAGACTCCTCAGACAACCAAATAGTTCAACAAAACATCTACAAATGTGAATAAAAAGCTGATTTTAGTTAGTGTTGCCAATTGTTAACTTGACTAACTTGTATGTGAGCATTCTTTAGAGCCACCTTTATATTGTAATGTCCGAAAAACAGATATTTATGTGAGTTTTTTATTACAAATGTGTATTATATAAATAGAAAAATGGGACGCAGGTTATAAGATGGCAGTAGGTGGGTATGAATTCAAACTGCAAATGAAGCAACTACAGTATTATCCACATTTATGCGTCAAATCATATACCTAGGTTTTATTTAGTTTTACAAAAAAATTAACACAAAATAAATGCAATAAAGAATAAGCTTTAGGTTTATGCAGGGTGGTATTTCTTAGTGTTCATAAATTTACTGAATAGGGATTAGCAATCAGCGCAGATCGAGGGAAAATTGCCTTAATTTTCTCTCCTGCCTGCTGATTGGTGCAGTTCCAGTATTTAGAAATGGATAAAAGTCTGGCAGCCACGCTCTTTTTAACCAATAGGGGGTGGTGTGGATTCACCAGAAGAGATGATGATTGGCAGAATACCAAAAGGGAGAAGATTCATCATTTCATCACACCCCCTTCTTCATCAGTCCTCCCTTCCTGACACTAGAGTGTCAACAGAATCTCTCAACATCCTGTTGCATCTCTAAACCAAGCTTGCAGCTGCAACACTCATGCTCGAAAGCCTGCAAATCCGAATCCCTCAAGCCGCATCTCCTCGGATGATAAAAAGCACGTGTGTGTTTCGTCCGTAGGCGGGTTCAGATCTCTCCAACCTGTTGGACTTACTTGTCTCTGCAGCTCCAGATCTGCCTTGTTGCCTACGAGGATCATGGGGAATTCATCTCTGTCTTTGACTCGCAGAATCTGTCTTTGGAATTTGTAGATTTCTTCAAAGCTGCAAATCAGATGGCGAGGACCGTTACATGTGTGTAAAAAGGCATACATTCATCTCCTAACAATGCAACAATTAAAAAAAAAGAAAAAAAGAAAAGAAGCATCCCCACCCACACACATGTAGACACACGAACAAAACCGTCGAACATGAGTGTGGGGTTATCTCTGCAGGGATAAACATGCCAGTTGAGACGGGGGGGGGGAGTCTGCCTGACTATTACAGCAGCGCAAAATATTTTTATCCGAGGCTCTGCCTCCCTCTGCCTGACCCGACTGTTGCCCCACTATAATACAGATGGCATGTGATGGCAGGCTTTCAACTTTACAGCAAATAAAAATGTCAGTCTGGGAGGGGAAAAAAAAAGAAAAAAAAGAAAAAGAAGAGCAAAGAGGCAGAATGTAACCACAAAGCCGAGACGGCATTCCAGTCGTGTTGAGCACATAGTAAATCTGGTAAGACTTGACTAATATAAATGGAGGAAGGAAAGACTGTTTACAACATAAACATTGGGAGGGGGCTTAGGGTGGGAACAAGGGAATGCAGCTTACTGTGCTGCTGTGCAGCAGACATGACACAAGGGATGGGCAGCGAGAAAATAAAAGAAAGAAATGAAAAAGAAAAAATTTAAATCCAAATCCTGAACAAGTAGAAACTCTTCTTTTTTTTTTCTTCTTTTTTTTTTTTTTTACCTGATCTAGTCTAGACAGTAATTAAAGCCCCTCTAAACAGAGCATGTCGTGCATGAAGGATTCACCTGAAAACAGTTTGGCCGTGTGCGTTTTGCAGCCTGTTTCCTCCTTTCGCCTCATTAATGCTGCCCGAGCTCGTGCGGTGGCAGCGTAAACACACGCATCGGTGTCACAGCTGTCACATTTGCAACAAAGCAGCAGGTGGAATAAGTTATGCTTTCGTTTCAAACCCACCTGCTCCTTGCCAAACCAGGCAGGGGGTGAGAATGACGGTTTCAATATGATGCGCTTTGTATCTTCGGCGACCTGATTTCAAAGCAGCTTAAAATGAAGGCGCCTGAAACAAAGTTTAGCAACAACCGCGTGAGGCTTTTAAGGGGACCGTTTGTGCCTGACAGTGTTGTCAGTATACACACACACGCATGTTTTGAGTGCATACAGCGCCGGCCAAATTTATTAGGACCCCTGGTACGATAAACGTGCAAGAAGCCTAAATGTATGTTTATGTTTTATTGAAGTGGAGTCAGGTCCAACAGAACCATCAAGAGAACTACAAGATTTAATTTGATTATAATTATTTACAGGAAAAGAAAATCCCCATCATTAACAAATATAATAAGGACCTAATAAGGATTCTGACTTCCTTTTTTTCTGTGTTATATTTAGTAAAAATAAAATCTGACTTGATTTGATTTGGTAAAAATACAATAAAACAATTCTGATGTGACTCTCCCTTCAAGTAAATGTATTCAAGTTAAATTTTTAGCAGTAAAATAATTAATCCTAAGTTTTTTTTCTCCACAACTTTATGAGGGTGCAAAAAAAGAAAACAAAGAGCAAACTGACTCCCGAGTCTTTCCCTGTACCTGAATTTGTTTCCATGCATCTGCGCACACATGCTATTGTTTAAGCAGTAGGTAGGCTTTTAATAGAAGTCTAAGGTAAGTGTGTAGGTGAATTAAACGAGAGCAGGGCGAGGACAGGAAGTGTCGAGAACAAAAGCGAATGACAACAAGAACAACAGCGAGGTCCGGAAGCCGGAGCAGCAAAAGTTGGTGTCGATGCCAAATTCATGGTTCTTGTAGTGGAAAGAGTGTGCAGATGTGAAAAGCACACAGCGCTTTACAAAAAAAAAAAAAAAAAGTGTGCGTGTGCTTGCTCAAAGTGAAAACTGTCACCTACCTTCCTCTGTCAGTGACTGAGAAGACGAGCAGGAAGCCCTCCCCTGTCCTCATGTATTGTTCTCGCATGGCTCCGAACTCTTCCTGTCCAGCCGTGTCGAGGACTGCACAGCGGCAACACGTGCACACACATTAGCAGAATACACCGCTCAGAACCAGCGCCTCATCAGACGAGGCAAAAACAAAACAGAAACGAGCAAGCGGTCGAAAATGTGCGTCTTTGCATTTACTCTGGCCGTGTTTGTTCTGCACTTACTGTCCAGCCTGGCCGGCCTTTCATCAATCACGCACTGCTTGGTGTAAGAGTCTTCGATCGTAGGATCATAGTCGGTGACAAAGTATGACTGCATGAGAGAGAGACAGAGAGAGAAAGAGAGAGAGAGGAGAGGACAAAACAGACGACATGATTATTTAAATCCAGTTGACATCGCAGATGATTCTCAATAAATTACAACGTCAGAATGTTTAGTTTTTTCAGCAAGTCGATATTATTGATTTTTTTTTTTTATTCCGGTTCATTTTTATGGCTTTGGTTTACAGCTAATAAAAAAACAACAAAAAAAAACCTAATTTTCTCAAAAATTGTGCATAGGTCCAATAAAAACAAATATTTAATACAGAACTGTCAGCCAACTATAAAGTATCCCCATGTATTGTATAAGATATTTACTCACTACATTGTCCAGAGGCTCTTTTTGCATAAATGACTGAATCAGTGACTCCAACCACAGCCCAGACTTGTGACTCTCCCCCAAATCCTTAAATATTTACAACCCTCCTAAGCCTCCAGTTATCCATGTTGATTGCGCACCATTATCTCTACCTCACTTTTTTCTTCCATTCAACTTTCCGATAACATGCTCCCACACAGCGCACTGAACAGCCAGCTTCTGAAGCATTGATAAGAAGCACGATATCAATCACTTCTTACGGTCAAGTCAGTGATCTGAATGATGGTCATAAAGATATGGAGGAACTGAATCATGGGTTGTCATTAACTGCAAGCCTTTATTACCTGATTTAATCTGTGCGTAAGGAACCTACATAGCATCAGAGGTTTGCTTTTTGAGAACTGGATCTCTTTACTAAATACATTTTCTGACGCTATTCTGATGTAATTTCACCACGTTTCAACTGTCCTACCCTCTGGTTTTGTACTTTTGGAACCTAAACGTCTGATTTCTGAGGAGTGCACTGGGTTTGTTCCCACCAACATACAGTTATAGTTATCAGATGAGCAGATCTTTGTTCTGAGCTTCTATTCTTCTGCTCCAAGCAGACATAATTCTGTTATTTCAACTAATGCAGCTTAGAATGACTGTTCACATGGATGTCTGCATGGCTGGCTTCAGAACGGGCAGACGTGGGAATAAACAGCCACACTATGCTTGTGTTTTGGGTTAAAACAGCACAGACAGCCTCGCTGACCTCTACCTCGCCTGGATCTCTCCAGGCAGAAGGTAAACATACCGTCTGTAGCCACCTGCAAAAAAAAAACAAAACAAAAAACAGTGAACTAAATATTCTGCTACACAACAACCACACGCTCTGCTTCCCTCCCGCCCCCCACTACCACATGCTGGTTTTAAGCAAATAACACATTTACAAAACGGTTTGCCGAGCTTCAAAAGCCACACAGCCTGCCTGATTCTTCCAATTTGGGGCCAGTATCTGGTCTTGTAGTAACCTCAGCTGAAAGGGTGGGGCCGGACAGCAGGGACGAGGACATGAAGAAGAAGAAGGAGGAGTCACGCATTTTTCCCATTTTTCCCATGTTTTGTTGTTCTCGCTCCCCTCGGGGACTTGTTAAGTGGTGACAGCTGAAGGGAGTGCTCAGGGAATGTCAAACCAACACCCGAAGACCCGGGGAGCAATCAGGGCGTAAAACGTAAAAAGAAATCCAGACACAATTCACACTCGGGTCCAAAGAGGAGTCAAATTAAACTTCCCCCAGTCACACTCCAGTTGTCTGTGTAGAGAAACTGTGTGATGTTTTACAACAGAGGCAGCAGGATGCTTATTTGGTGTTATTCAGAAGCCGAGGAGACAAGAAACGGCCTGCCCCTGTGTTTGCAGGGCAACAAATCTTTGATGATCCTGAAAATGGGTGAGACAGATTGAAACAGGGGGGGGGGAAAAAGGCAACATGCCTAAATTTAGCAGTAAATCAACTTTATATTTTCGTAGAAAATATAGTGTCAAAGTTTGCCTCCCTGAATATCTCCGCTTTTAGAATTTTTTTCCAGACAAATGTTTCAGATCAAACTCATTTTAACTTGAGACAAAGATAAGACGAGCTAATATAAAATACAGATGTTAAATGCGTATTTAAAGGACTATCCGCTCCAACGTGGCCCGATGTTAAAACGTCTTTGCTCCACCAAATCTAATAAGCGATTTTGCAGTAACTAGCAGCGACTCGTCTCCATCACTGTGGTAGAATTGTGGCCCACTCCTCTCTGCTGGAGAGGAACTGCTGGAGAGTTTTCAACCCTGAACGACCTGCTTAAGGTCGTGCCACTTAAATCAATCAAATTTAAGTCTCCATCCACTTTGAATAGGGCATTACTAGGTCAACTTCATTAGACGGTTCAGCTGCTTTCTCCCCATTTGTTGATAATTTCCTCCAGCTGTGCTTCAGTCCAAAGACTTGAGAATGAATTTGTTTCTGATGCGTTCTTGAATGTCTTTGCGTCAGAGCTTGATGCATCTACCTTTTGAGATCGTCTGGTCTACTTCATGGTGTCAGAGATTCCATTTAGGTGAATTTGGGGATAAGTTACAATAATATTAGACATCAAATGCAATTGAGCTTGAAAGAGCTGGTGCAGAACAACATCAGCCCTAAAGCTGTTGGCACGTTTACACTCTGGTAATTACAAGTCCTTCTAAAATAATTCTCCCTGCCCGAGACGTCTTGTACCTTCACAATGATTCCATTTTAAGCCCCCATTACAGCAAACGCTGTGGCTGTCTCACTGTGTGACCTACTTTCTGCGGGGATTTCGCTGTCAGACAGACGTCCCTACATGTCTGCCCACTTGAATTTGCTGATGCAATTGACGAGCAGATGTTCTGATGCAGATCTCGCAGCGAAGGACGGGCAAGGCATAATACTACCACCACTGTGCTCCACATATCACAGATATCCAATACCAAATGCATTTTTGAGATTCTTCTAACCTCGCGCTGTTCATTTATAGAAATAGGTTGATTTTAAATACTTTGTTGACTAAATATTTTTAGTCATCAGTGTCTTAGTTTGTGGTCCTCAGCAAGCAGCAAATTAAGAAAGGGGCGGGAGGTTCTTTCTTGAAGCCTAGCGGTACATAATGGTTCACCGAGCCAACATTAAACACGAAAGACTTTAAATATTTATAGTATTTATAACACTGTTGTTTGCTGCATGAAGAAGAGTTTGCGTTGACCTCGATGTTGACTGCAAACTTGAAATCAACTCGGAGAAACAAAAGCTATTTTTGCAACATTTGAAATCACAACTCTTTAGCTTATGTAAATTAACTAAATTGAGGAAGTTTCACAGTAATTACAGGTGTATTAATATCTTAGTTAAATTCTAATTTAATTACTGGGTTGTTTTTATTCATTTGTAGTCGCTAGCAAAAACTGCATATTGATTGCTTCTCCCACGCTATTTGCGACTCTGTTGTTGCACGAGGTGCAGAGATTCTCTCCGTCGCATTCTCCTGGCGTCTCTGCTGCCTGTAAGTACGCTCGCCTGCGTCGCATCCATTCATTGCTGTTCAATAATTCAGCAGTGTTACTTTGCATCTTTAAATGCACCGTACTGCACTGCTAGCGTGCCTTCAGAGCTGACAGGTCAGAGACAAAAGGACACACATTCTCTTTAATCATTATCCATACAACTCTGCTACCTGTAATATTAGTGTCTAACTTCTTATGGCGATGTCTTCTCTTAACCTCTTGATCATATTTTTCTCCCTGGGCGGAGCTGAACATTTCTCTGGCCTCCTCAGTCCTCCCTTCCCCACACCTCTGCGTGTTTGGCTAGTTTAGCTGTAGCTTCCTGCTCCAACCAAAGCGATTGTCTCTTTTCTCCTAATAGATGACACTGTTTCTGCATCGCTGGCTGCATCGGAGCTAGCGATATCGAGGGCCGGAGTCCAGCCTGGATGGGGTTTCAGCTGGGCAGCGATGGGCTTGGAGAGGCAAACGTGACTCGAGAAGTCTACCAATAACCGAGTGAGAAATGCCAGTTTGAATCAAATCCAGTTAATCTGATCTATAAAGTCTCATTTGGCTACAAATCTAACCTGGTATATTTAAAAAAAAACAAGAAGTAAGTTTTAGACAGCGACATGTTCAACAGGAAGAAAAACAAATGCTGATACTGAATGAAGTGATGTGCAAATAATTCAGTTTGTGTTTCCACGTCAGTCCAAGCCAACTTAGTTGACAAAAAAATATGATGAAATAAAATAAATAAGGAGGATGCTCTAGAACAATTTTAAAGTTGTGATTATTTGCTGTTGAACCAGCCGAAATAGCTATTGCTTTGTTGGCTTTAAATAACAGCAGCTAAACCGCGTTTTTCTTCTTCTCTTTTAATTTTGTGGTAATACCATGATATTGTGACACCATGACACTTTTACTTGATGTTATCAATGAAAATCTGACACCAACCAACGCCTACTTAAGTTCATTCCTCCAGTGGAGCATCTAGATCTAATAAAAACACAATTGAAAACATTTTTTTTTCTTCTTTTTTTCTGTTTCACATACTTGCAACTGAACCAGATGACATTAGAGTTCTCTTAGTAATCTGTAAGAATGTATCACATGCACATACCAGTGAGGCAGACCGATTTTCTGAACACATTTTCAGGAATACACTGGACAGTGTGATGAGATTAAAAATTCACAGAACCAAATTCCCTCTTGTTGAAGAAAAAGGAACAATCCACCAACAATAAATACATAGACAAGCTTAACTGGCATTCAAACTGAGGAAGCAATCACAGTCACAATCACACATCTACTTGAACTCTGCCAACAGTGAAACAAACCTGTAACTGAATAACTAGGCTAGAACCAGGCCGGAGCAAGGAAGAACAGGTTTGTATGTGCATTCATAAACCCATAATTATTATCTTTGAGATTTCTCCTCTTGCTAGCAGCAGCAAAGTCAAGGTAAAGTTCAATCACCTTAGTACAAACTAAAACGCAAATGTATGAGCAAGAACAAAAAAAGCAACAAAGGCACACAAAAAATAAGACTGGGGGGGAAGAGGGGGAATAGTTGCAGCAAACCATGTTACAATTTAGATGTCAGTGGGAAGGTGGGTCAGGCTACACTTGGGTC